TTTATGATCACGACGGATGCGTCTGGGTATTGCTGCGGAGCGGTACTCTCGCAGTTGGATGCCAAGGGCAACGATCGACCGTTTGCCTTCTGTCGAAGAAGTTCGGGGATACTGAGTGCAACTGGCCATCGCATGAAAAAGAATTTTACGCCATCAAGCTGGCTTTGACGAAGTGGCGGCCTTACATATACGGCTCGCACTTTGATGTCTTCACAGACAATACGGCTTGCCAATGGTTACTGAAAACACCCGTGTTAACCGCGAAGCTAACAAGAAGGTTGGAATTCTTCGGTTCGTTTGACTTCACTCTCCACCATCGTCCCGGCAAGACGAATGTGGTGGCCGACGCGTTGTCCCGTCCTCCGCGTGCAAGTGTACAAATTGCTACATGTGCGGTTCACAATTGTGATTAACACTGTCGTGCAAGATACGTTGCTGTGTGTCAGTGGAGCGAAAATGTGCTGTCAATTAAGCGCATTGACCTGCGTACACTTGTGTTGGTGACAGACTCGCCTTCTCGGGGGGAGGAGTTGCAAACAAACAGTCTCGAAGTCGAAGTGCCACAACAATATGTCATCAGCCTTTCCGAAGAACTATTGTATAGCACCGTCAAAATGGACGAGGAGGTTCAAACAAACAGTCTCGAAGTCGAAGTGCCACAACAATATGTCATCAGCCTTTCCGAAGAACTATTGTATAGCACCGTCAAAATGGACGAGAAGATTCATCCAAGCCTACACCAAGTCCAAGGAATTCGAAGATGCAACTAAGTTTGTAAAAAGGATGAACTCTACTTCGAGAAGTCGAAAGACCAAATTTGGCAGTTGTGTGTTCCCAAAAACGACTTTCTCAAAGGAGAAATCATTTCGCAAAGCCATGACTCGAGCACTACAGCGCATCCTGGGGTTCGACACGCAGTTGCATGCAGCTCAATGGTACAACTGGAACCGAATGGACGAAGATGTCAAGTTGTACGTCGCAACTTGCGAAACCTGTGCTCGCTGTAAGTCGAGTAGTGCCAATGCCAATGGTTGAATGATCATAATCAAGTCTCTTGACTAATGCTGGCATACAGTTTCCATCGACTGGGTCAAAGATCTCCCTGTTTCCAATGGAAAAGATGCAATCATGACTTGTGTCTACAAGACATCGAAACGGCCCAAGTACTGCGCCACGACGTCGACCGCTGATGCACACCAAGCTGCAAAGGAGTTCTTTGACACTGTTGTCGGCAACCAAGGTTTGCCTGCTGTCATAATGAGTGTTCGAGATCCAAAGTTCACTAGTCATTTTGGCAAGGTTTGATGAACATCATGAGTGTAAAACACAACAGAACCAAAGCGAGCGCAAAGTGATGGAGCCAAAGAACAGCAAAACCGAATGTTTGAGGATGCTCTACGTTGCCAAGTGTCCTATTTGGGTCACTCCTTGACTGAAGATTGAACAACCATCGAGTATGTTCATCAAGGACACGTACAAAGATCGACGAGAATGACCCCCTTTGAGGTTGATACTGGCAGAAAGCTTTGAAATCCAGGGTTGTATGAAATATTGGCGTTGACATTGAACGAGTATGCAGAGAACTTTGCTGAGCGACACAAGGCGTAGCCAAAGTTGGACCCTGCATAACCTCGAAAAGGCTCAAGCTCGCCAAGGAATACTATGATCGTAAGAGAACCGAAGAAGAATTTAATGTCTACAAGAGCCTCATGCTAGCTACACGCGACATTCCTTTAAAGCATGCACAGTTACTCGACAAGCGAGAACAGTCAAAGCTCGTACCACGATTCATTGGTCCCTTCAAAGTGACGGAAGTAATCAACTTAAATGCGATGCGGTTGGCCCTACCTACGCTAATGCGGCGCCTACATAATGGTTTCAACATTGACCGGTTGAAACGCAACGTGCCAAACCCACATCGATTCCAAAATCGTCAGATTCCGAAGGCTACGCCTCATGTCCTAGACGACACAGGGAATAACCTCTTTATAGTAGAAGCGTTGCTATAACCACGGCAAATCACTTGTAAGAAGGAATATCTTGTCAAGTGGAATGGTTTGGCAAACCACGGAGCAACATGGGACTTGGAGCAACCAATCAAGCACGTTGTGCATTTCAAGAAGCTTGTCCAAGGCCTACGCGATAAGACAAGAGAGACCAAGCGACATCAGGGGGGGAGAATGTTGTGATCACACGGATCAAGTTAATGATGTCCTTACGTCAGTGTGCGTGGTCGGTAGAATGCAGCAGTTAACGGCACCACTGAGCGCAGTCTCGAGGGGGTTGGTGGAAGCACTCGACATCTCACTCCCTGGAAGATTCGACACGTGGGGAGCGGTGGCTCGAGAGTCAACGACTTGGCTGTCGTCGATGATCCCGATGTGGTCCACGCGCGACAGCATTCACACCATTGACTAGTCGTGGCAAAAGTATAAACGCGTGTTCGAGTCCATTGCGATGCAAAATGCGCTGGGCGTGACGTACCAGTTGCAAAAGTCCAACGTAGGATGTTGCAAGTTCTCAGCGAGGTTTCTCCCGTACGGAGTACTGGGGAGCGATATGTGGGCGTCGAATTCGACGTCTTGAGCGGCCGCAGTCCCGTCGAGTCGATTAAAAACTACTGCAATCCACGTCGTCTGGAGAAGACGACGCTGTTCGCGAACTCAGGGCATGACTGGGTTGAAACTTGCTGGCGGCGTCGAACCGCCCTCGCTACGTTCAGATTTGCATCCCGCTGGTCAATGAAGCGACCATTGGCGCGTATCGTGGAAGCAAACGCATAGCGCTGTCGGCAGGGCCACTTTCTTTGTATTTTGATTGAGATCTCACTTCATCTGGTGAATGTCGAGCCCAGCTAGACTCATTACTTCCATGAGTGGTCGATGTCAAGTCACCAAAGATTCCTGTCGTTGCCAACGACATGCTCCTGCAATGATGATGCCTCCGAAGCCGATTGGAAGTACAATTAAAGTACGAGGGTCTCCTCTGGATGTCGTGCCATGACCGGCAGACTGGTCGTGCCTAGGAAATGGGTTGTGCGAATACGTTGCAAGACCTTCAAGTGTTGGTCGATCGACTCCTTCCGATGTCTTGAGTGGTCGAAGCGTTCTCGTCCACCAAGCGCAGAGTTTGAAACATAAAATGTGCGCCTGCGATTGACCAGGACGGTCAGTAGCCGTGGGGACTACCCGTCAAGTCGAGATGAGCAGGCAAGCATTGAAATCCACAAGGTCATCATAATACACACCACACCTTGTTTCATCGGAACCAGATATGTCGCATGTGTAGACTTCACTCGTATACAGGTGGCGTGAGCCACTGAGCCTCGAGAGGCGTCGAAGAGCCTGCACAGGATTCCTCGCGCATCAAGCGACTGTCCGCCGGGTGGACAGCGCTGAACAACTGCACGTTTCTACCGTGAGTTGCCATTGCCTAGTGGAACGAACTAGACGTTGCCCGCTAGCAGCCATCGGGCAGTCGTGCCGGTTACCAAACCTCGATTTGCACCAACGACAAACGAATCCAGCTGAGGAATTTCGCAGCCAAGATACGCTGATCCTATGCAGGATCAGAAAGTCTTGGCTGGGAAATTCCGGCGGATGAAGTTGTCGTCACGGGCCCGATTTCGAGTCGTTCACTTTGGTACTTGACTTGGATCGCTCACTTGCTCCTGCCATCATGAAGTTTATTCTTGCGCTGACTGTAATGGCCGCCTCTGCCATGCTCAACGAAACATCTGTGTCTCGCCAACTTCAAGCGACACCCCCGCCGTACTGCTGGCTCGGCTCGTATGCCCGTGGCGTTGGCACAGTGCCCAAGTTATGCGCGCAAGGCCAAGAACTCATAGGACTCCTTTGCTACGACAATTGCCCGTGTGGGATGTCACGTAAAGGCCTAGATTGCCACTCGGACTGCCCCAAAGACATGGCGGACCAAGGCCTCTTTTGCCGCAAGAAGGAGTACGCTCGAGGCGCTGGCTACCCTTGGAAAATTGGCGACGCTTTTGATGACGACGCCATGTTCAAACGTTGCGAACACGACAACGGCGGCCGCGACACGTGCGAGAAGTATGGCCTTGTTGTGTACCCGAAATGCAAAGAGGGGTTCACCTCCTTTGGCTGCTGCATGTGCCGCCCCAGTCCACCAGACTGCGAGAAGCTTGGGCTGGCCGGCAGAATCGGCCTGTCTTGTGCAAAGAAAATAATCATCGGGAGTCCCCATTTGCGTACGTGTGCACCGTACGAAGAGCTTAGCGCTGGGTTGTGCTACAAAAAGTGTTTGAAGGGCTTCCATGGTATCGGGCCGATCTGCTGGAACCGCGCCCCGCCTGAATGGTTCCAGTGTGGCACGGGAGCCACCAAGACCTCGGAGGAATGCGAACAAATCAAAACTGACAAGATCTTATCGGTCGCGTCGTTGGTGCTCAAAATTACCACGGAGTTCTCGTCAAGCTCAGAAGAGGTGCTCAAGGCCCAGGTCGACTCGGGGAAGTTGACCACGCTCAACAAAGCCTGGAACTCCATCAAGTCCACGTCCGTCGTTCAAAACGCCTTGAAAGCGTACGACG